CTTTGCAACTACCACACATCACTCTCGTTCTCTTCTCTGGGACCAAATGACACAACCACAGAATAAGAATATCACACAATCTGAGAGCTGGACGGACCATCAGCAGTCATCTAGATCAAAGCCTTCACACGGAGGAAACCTCATTGTAATATATCCAAATAAGTGGTTGTCTAGCCTTGGTTTGAAGACCCTATGAGAGGAAACATGATCTCGCAAGGCAGTCCACACTACTTCCTGATAACCTTTAATCGTTAGGAAGTTTTCCTGATTTGGAGCCTAAACAGGGGTCTAATTCCTTGAGTCTAAACCATCTTTCCTGCGATAACCCTTCAGATTCCTAAAGACAGCTATCATGTCCCTTCTTAGCCTTCTCTTTGCCAGAGTAAACCTCCCCCGCACCTTCAGCAGATCCTTGTATGACATCTTGAAGCAAGTTTTGATTGAAACTTCAGAGATGAGGAGAGGTGTGACTCCCTTGACGTCTGATTTAAGTAAAACCCCTTCAGCTATTCTTGAACTGAAGCCGTGTCGATGATGGTGTGCATGGACATGTATGTCAGTGTGTGTATGTGTGTCTGTGTTTGAAACTGAGCAAGCTAGGTGCACAATTATTCTGCAAACGGGAAGACAAGCAATAGAAAATGTTTCATGATTGATTCTAAAGACATTTCAGGGAGAGGGAGAAGAATCCACACATCTGTAAAATCAAGCACAGTCATCGAGAGCCTGAAGGAGAACTCAATAATTCATAGCAATTTAAAGATAAAAGGCAGTCCTTTTTCTCTCATGCACAGGAACTGGCATAACTCATCTTTCCTGGGGTGAATGGCAACTGTGTGGATATATCACTTGGGTTTGTTTTTGTTTTTTTTTTCAAAGAGCAGGCTCAGTGAAAGAATCTCAAGGCTCTTGGTGAATGGTTTTCCCTGAAGGCCATTGATAGAGACCCACAAGCCCCTGATATCTAACCATATGCCGATTTAACTGGCTCCTTTAACCAGCGAAAATGTTCCCAAGTAGAACATATTCATGTACTAATAGGATATGATATTTCTATTAGTATTAATTAGACCCTCTCATGGTCCCCCATATCCTCTAAACAGCAAGAAGGACCTGGGCTATATCACAGTTAATAGGAGCAGGGTGACTGTTGCTTAGGCAACAGGATGAAGAGATGTGGGTCAGAATGTGCTTTAAGGAATAAAGAAAAACAAAAGCTGGACTATCTATCATATGAGATGGATGTGAAGCTGATCGAACAGATGTTCTTCTATGTTAATAAAATGTTACAGCACAAAGACCAACGAGATCAGTCCACGTGAACTTGTGATAATGAACTACATTAGGTTCCACTGGACGGATGGATATATGTGTGTGTGTTTATATATGTATGTGTGCATGTGCATATGTATGCACACACACGCATGTGTCTACATATATATGTGCATGTACATATGTGTGTATGTATGTGTATATGTGTGTATAAAACAAGGGAATGGTTTTCTAATGTTACTACAGTAGCATTTAAACGGCATAGACTAATATGTTCAATCCCGCATGGAGACACCATTTTCTTATGTGCCTCACATCTTTGATTACCATACCAAGAATTTAAACTTTTTATGTCTTCTTAGTCAAGAAGTATCTTGCAGATACCTGATCTAACCGAGTCATAAAAGACATTTATAAGCTCTTGTTGATTCATTGATTCAACTGTATGACACAGTGGAAAGAGAAATGACTATTATGTCAGAGGACAAGGGTTAAATTCTACCCTCACTATGTATTATCTGGGCAAACCATTTAATCTCTGTGAGCAACAATTTCTTCAACTATGAAATAGGGGCTGGACCCTTATTTTATATTTTTCCAGCTCTAGACCTCTGATCTTAAATCACTTCAATTCTCTTGCCTCAGTTTCCACTTCTATAAAATGAAGTTGTTGATGTAGATGGACTCTGATCATGTGATCTCATGAATCATGGTAGGAGTGTCTTCTATGTAGTAAATCAATGCACTCAAGAGCCTGTAAAGCACTTTAATACATAATCTCATTTGAGCTGCACAACAATCCTGAGGGGAAGGCAACACAGTTATAATTGTCCCCACTTGGCAGATGAGGAAACTGAGTTTTTCAAGAGGTTAAGTGATTTGTCCAGGGTCAAAGAGCTAGTAAAGAATCAGACATGGTTTTTACATCTAGGTCTTTTGGATTCAGAGTCAAGCCCTACAGCCACCATGCCACTGGCGATAGAGAAGGGTAAGAATGTGGAGAAAATGTCCAACCTTCACTGTGCCCACAAATGCACATACACACAGCAGATCCATAAACCCCCATCACATTACCACTTTAAGCCACAGGCTGTACAGCTTTCACATATTTCATTCACAAGAATCTTCCCGTGTGTTGCTGCCAATACTTATTTTAAAACCTGTCTGAGTAACCTTTAAAGGAGATCTTATCTTTACCCATATAGACCTAAAGTTTAGATGTAAAGAAAGCGGAATTACATCATAGGGGTTAGGATCTTCTTGTCCACCAAAGCAAGTGAGGCATTAGGAGAGGGAACCTGGGTACCGTGCAAACTTTCTGTTCTAGACCAGGGTAAGGCTGGAGAGTTTTTTTTTTAAGTTCTCTTCCCATTGGCATCGAGAGAAGAGATATGGGAAATGTCAGAGGAAGAGAAGGAAGGATGGAGGGAGGTGGAGAGAAAAATAGAGGTAGAGAGGCAGAGAGACAGAAACAGAGATACAGAGAAAGAGTGACAGATAAAAGGAGAAAGGCATTGAGATACAGAAGGAGAGGGACACAGAAAGGGAGATATATGAGGAAATGGAGGGCAAGAGAGGAAAAAACAGAGACAAAAGGAGAGAGGCAGAGGAACACACACACAGAGAGAGGGAGAACAGGAAAGACACAGAAAGAGATGGGGAAATATATAGAGAGGGAAAGAGATAAAGAGAGTAAGAGAGAGAGATAAAGAAATAACGGAGGGAGGAAGGGAAGGAAACAGAGAGACAGAGGGAGAGACTAAGAAAAGAAGAGAGGGAGGGGAAAAGATGAGTGAGGAAGAGAAGGGGGAGGGAAATAGAGATGGAGACAGAGAAGGGAGAGGGAGAAAGAAGCAGTCTGGCTATAGTTACTATAAACACTTGAAAATGCATCCATCCAGCTGATTTACTAATTCCTATAATTCTCACTGCCGGCCATTAAGAGTGCTGTACTTGACAAACACACAGGAGAAATGTTTGCCCTCCCCCGCCCCCTGCCCTTGCCACAGAAATGGCTAAAACTGTTTGCTTATTTTTCATTTTCAAAGTTCTGGGACTGGAAGAACCTCATCAAAGAAAGAAGAAGCCATGGCAGTTGGGACAGACTGCAAAGATTCCAAGCCCAGAAAGGATTCAGCAAATACCATCACATGCAAGTTTTCCAGCCCACATGTCATACTACATTTGTGCAATGCTCTTCCTGCCAGACATTTCTGGACAAAATATGTCTTTAAAAAATAGGTGGACATTTAATCAACTGAATAACTAAAAATCCTACCTAATTCAGCATTAAGCATGGAGGAAAAAAAGATATTTTATATATAATATATATGTATGTATATGTATGTATATGTGTGTGTGCATGATTATGAAAGAAAACATGCCAAGTGTCAGGCATTTCCCCAACTTTTTTTTCCATTTGCAGTTTTGATGGCAAGAAACTGCAGGTGTCGGGCCTGTCTAACATTTTACTTGGAAACAATGTCTGGGATTATAGTTATTAGAATGTTATTAATCCCAAGGGCTGTGTGTGTGCCTCGTGCCTATAACACAGACATAGCACTAAATTTAGAGCCCTGACTGTGTGTGGTAAGACCTTAAATACAGGGAAAGTTAACAAGGGCTCTGACGTAGCTTTACAAGTGGGGTGAAGGTTCTTAGCCCAAGTGAAACTGATGAGCACTGGAGGAGGTAGGGAAATGATTGGGGGCTGTGAAAGCAGCCCACATGGCTCTCCAGCCCAGTTCTAACCTATATTCCTCACAGTGGGGATTTTGTATATTTCAGCGACATGTGGCTGGAGAAGTCACTGGTGCTCTATGCACTTGGGCTGCTGGAGAGACCATCACTCCCTCCTTCTAGTCAGGTATTCTTAATGTGGGATTCATGGACTTTCAAGGGTCCCCGGTTAGATTTCTAGAGGTATATGAACTTGGATGGGAAAACAAAACAAAATAAGGTATCTTTTTCATTAACTTCTAGAAATTTTGCATTTTCTTTAACATGCTAAGAAGGGGTAGACAGGCTTCTTTGGACAGCTAAACGGGTCTAGGACATAAACAAGGAGAAGAACCCCACTATCCAGATATTAACCAGCCCAAACTAGGAAAGCATCTATTTCCTTCTTAAAGGAACACATTCCTATTTACTATCCCAGTCTAAGTGAATTCTCTCCATAATTGACTCTTTCCAGCAGCAGGAGCAGAGACTGAAGAGGGTGCCTGCAATTTGGAACGGGGACTGAACAGTTACCTTGCACACCTGACCCACGCCACACTGAAACGCTAATGCTTACCTGAAACAATATTTCATGCTGCTGACTGTGACTAGAACTGCCTGAAAGCAGGGGTATTGTTCCAGTACGGATGCTCTGAAAGGATTACTTTCTAAAAGTGGACCGTCAAACAACAAGGGGAGAAATGGCCATTTGAACCTTCCTCTACCTCCTGTAAAGATCACTGTGGCAAAATCGGTCCCAAAAAGCACATGGACGGGTAGCTCCATACGCACACCTTATGGCTCTTTATAACCTGATTTCCAGCAAGCATTTAGTTGCAAACAATAAGTTCATCGTAAGCAGCCCCTGTTTCTTGCTTTGGCCCCACAGAGAGCCCGGGGGCTGATTGTTTGGAGCTTAGCTCAGACCCCCTCTCACTGACGGAAGCCAAACAGAGAAAGCCCAGACAGACAAAAGGCAGCCACATGAACCCAGACCGGGAGCTCCTTACCATAAACTGCACGTTGTCGAATCCGTTGGCCATCAGGTGGTTCTCGTACTGAGGCAGCCCAATGTTGTCCAGCCATTGTCCCACCGTCTGGACCGGGCATCGAGGTCCTGCAAGAGGGTGGAGAGGGAAGCGTTTAAGCAGGGAGTAGCCGTCCACGGGGTAGTAGCGGTAGTCCTGGGCTGAGAGGTGGCATTGCCACATCATGTTGTGAGGAAAGTTGCTGTCATAGGAGCCCGCCAGTTTGACAGATAAACGTTGGGATTTTTCTCAAGAGAAAGAAAAGTCAAAAGGAAAACATAGTTGTTTTTTTTCGCCAGGGAAGGTGAGTGAGAAAGAGGCAGGGTGGCTCCTAGCTCCACATTTCTCACATATTAGCAATGGACTAGGGACTGTGGATGTCACACCGGGGCCCCCCAGATCCCAGAAGAAGCCTGCATGTCAATCCTTCAGCGCCGGCTGGCTGCTCTCTGGTTCTCAGGGATGCTTGGAATACTCCACAGTGAGCTCTGGCAGCGCGAGCAGGCAAGACTTCTTCCTCATCCAATACTCCTACACTCATTGGTATTCAGCTCCATGCTCCTGGCGCCCCCCTCGCTCCGCTCCCCTTCATTACCCAGCCCAGGCTACACCTCCCATTTTCAGTAATAGCCATCAGATAAGGCAGATTTTGTGTGTGTGTGTGTGTGTGTGTGTGTGTGTGTGTGTGTGTGTGTATGTGTATGTGCAAGCTGTAAGCCCCGCTTCTGGTGCTGCCGCCTCCTACACACCCATCCAAGCGTCAATCTTAAATGATGGGAGCAGTCAAAACAAATGCAGAAATAGCAAGAATTACAAGCGGACCCGGTGCTGCGATCTCAATTGAATCTTCGTCCCGAGGTTATGCATTTTGGGGAGCGTGTGTGTGTGTGTGTGTGTGTGTGTGTGTGTGTGTGTGTGTGTGTGTGTGTGTGTGTTTTGATGTCTCAAAAGGCACGAGGGAATGTAAAGCCTTAACTATAGCCTATAGCAGGGTTCACTATGTGTTCCTTTATTTTTTGAAAATGCAACACAGAGAATTGTTTCTCATTTGAAGCTTTGTTTGATACCTTTTGGAAAATGATTATTCATTTGCTTTCAATGATGCTAGTTCGAAATGAACAGTGGAGGTTGTTGGGGTTTTTTGCACCCCCTCCTTAAAATTCTGCAAGGCATAAAAACTTGCCAGCCACCCTTAAGTCAAAACAATTTATTTCTCAGCTATGAATTTTCAAGCCCATAAGATATTATGAGACATAAAGATTTCCTCTGGATGTTTGTAACTCAGTCTGTTGGGTGGGTTGGTGTTACTATTGCAACTATCTAGAAAGGGGGCATTTTTTTTTTCTACTGGAAAGAGGTAGGCTGGTTATGGAGGCACCTTGCTGAATTTGGAAAGTCATAGGATTCGTATTTGAATCCTGGAACAGCCACTTGGTAGCTGTATGACCTCAGAGAACTCACTTGCCTTCTCTAGTCTTCATGTTCATCAATTATCAGAAAGGGATTACATTAGCTATCTGGAGCCTCTTTCCAGGTCTAGCCCTAAGGATCCTAGGAATAAAAAAATAAAGAGACCTTAGCTCCCAAATAATTTAAAAATTATAGATGTGAATATCTGGTGAAGAGCAGAGTGGTTATACCTAAAGGAAATTATGCAACTAATCTTGGGGAGCCACAGGCTGCCCACAAAAACTAGGAGACCAACTACTTTGCAAGGTATTCTATTTCAAGGATGGGAAGATCTAAATCGGGGGTGGGGAAACTGTGGCCTCAAGACCACATGTGGCCCCTCTAGGTCCTCAAGTGCAAACTTGAGGTCTTGAGGCCGCAGGTTCCCCACCCCTGCTCTAAATATTAGGGAAGTTCTTTATATATACCATGTTCCCAAAATCTTAAGGCAGTAAGACTTTGGGGACATGCTGTATGAAAAAAATTCCTTATTTAGAGTTCCCCTTCAATGAGAAAGATTTCCATTTAAGCTTTAATAGTTTAAAAGTACAGTAAGACTTTTGGGATAACTGGTATTTAATCAAAATCTCTCTCCCTATAATGTACACCTATTGGCCCAAGTCAGCACCTCTGGAGCATTAGAATATTTAAATCTACTTTCTCAGTACGATCCTTTGTGAAGGCACTTACCTTTTAACTTTCCTGGACCCATTCCTACCTACTTTATGGTACAATAGACAGGCATGCTACCCACTGAGTAAAGAGGCCTGAGTTCAGATTCCACCCCAGGTGCTTGCTAGCTGCTTAATCCAGTGGGCAAATCACTTAAACCTCTAAAGTCTTCCTCATCAATAAAATGGGATAACAGTAAGAACAGACATTTATACAATGTTGTACATATATTACCTCATTTAGACCTTTCAAAAGCTCTGTGAGTTGGGTGTTTTGTTTTTTTTTTAAATCTGGTTACATCTGTGATTCCATTGGTGTAAAGAATTCCCTTTACCAATGCAAATAGTCAGCTGCTCTGTACGTTAGAGCCTTGTGGCACTGAGAGGATAAAGGATGTGCCCTAAGCCCAGGGTTTTCTGACTCTGGGGCTGGCTCTCCATCCCGTACACAACACAGTCTCACAACTGCCCCGTGACTTAGCTACTTGGGTATTACAGATAGGGAAGCTAAGGAGCTGAGAGTCTCAGGGAATTTCCCAGGTTCATATAACTAATGTATATCAGAAATTGAATTTGAATCTGCCTTCCTAGCTCCAAGTCCAGAAATCATTCTATCCATTAAGTCATCTTTTGTTGTTGTTAAGTTGTTTTTCAGTTGTTTCCAACTCCCTGTGACCCCATTTGGGGTTTTCTTGGCAGAGATACTCAAGTAGTTTGCCATTTCCTTCTCCAGCAAGTTTTATAGATGAGGAAACTGAGGCAAACAGGGTTAAGTGATTAGCCCAGAGTCACACAGCTAGTAAATGTCTGAGGCTGGATTTGAATTCATGAGGAGGAATCTTCCTGACCCCAGGCCCAGCACTCTATCCACTGTACCTCCTAGCTGCCCTCTGTGCAGGACTATTTTGAGGAAAGTGCCTTATAAACCTTAAAGGATTATATAAATATAAGCCATAGTGATTGTTGTTGTCACTGTTGAGGTTGTTGTTATTATTATTATTATTATTATTGTCTCTCTAGGATTCTTTCAACTAACTCCCATATGATATAGTTTCAAGTCCCCCCCCCCCATTATCCTGGTTTTCCTCTTCTAGAAAAGTTTCAGTTGATCAATATCCTTTCCAAAACATGGCACTCATAACTGGACACAGTATTTCAGGTGTGTGCTGACAAGTCAAAGTGTAATGGAACCCTATTTTTTTTTCTTAAGGACACTAAACTTATGTTAATGTATCCTAAGATTGAGTTAGCTTTTTTGGCTACCATGTCACACTATTGTCTCCAAATGAGTTGGCAGTTCACCAAAACTCAGAGGTTTTTTAAAATATAAATTGCTCTACAGTGAGATCTTCCCCATCTAGCACTTTTATGGCCCGCTTTTATTTAGCATCTCAGTTGTAGAACTTCACCTTCACTGCTATTAAATTTTATCTTATTAGAGTTGGCTTGTTGGCCCAGCCTATCGATTTCTTTTTGGATCTTAATTCTGCTATCAGTATTATGCCATCTGCAAATGTGAGAAGCATACCATCTATGTCTTCATCTGAGTCATTGATTAAAAATGTGGAACAGAAAAGGACCAAGGACAGAAACCTTTATTAGAAACCTCTTTCTGGACTGACAGTGATCATCACTCTTTGGCTGAGTTACTCAACCATTTTCAGTCCAACAAATGACCTCCATCTAGATCACAGCCTACTGGCCAATCAGATATACTGGATCTATAATACTTGCCTTGCCTATTTCACAAGATACACAGGAAGAATAAATGGTATCTTTGATGTGAAAGTCAAGTCAGTCAATAAACACTGGTGAATATTATGTGCCAATCACTTTGCTAAGTGCCAAGTTCGCCATGAAAAGCAAAACCATGGTCTCTGCCCTTAAGGTGCTTATAGTCAAATAAGGGAGGGACAACATGCAAACAACTATGTACAAATCAGATACAGACAGGATAAAATGAAGATAATCTCAGAGGGGAGGCATTAAGCTTAAGAAGGACGGGGGAAAGCTTCTTGCAAAAGGAAGGATTTTATTGAGATCTGAAAGGATCCATAGAATCTACTGAGGAGGGAGAGAGTTCTAGGCATAGTAGAGACCTAAAGAAAAGGTCAGAGTTGGGAGTATCATGTGCAAGAAACAGGAAAAAGGTTAATGTCATTGGACTGCAGAGCACATGGAGAAATCTATCTATTGTAAAAATATGCATTTGGGCATATTTATGTATATATAAATATATATATGTAGAGAAGCATGCATAAATAGTAAAATGTAATAGTATAAAATATAAGGTAATATTGGCAAAGTGTTTGGAAGAAGTTCAACTGTAAGATAATCACAGAATCTCAAAGTTGGAAAGAATTACAGAGGTCACAAGATCATACACAGATGAGCTTCAATTTTCACTGTATATATGTGTGTGTGTATATGTGTATTTGAAAACATATAGTTGTTTGTATGTTGACTTCCCCAGTAGAATGTGAGTTCCTTGGGTGTTTTTTCCCCCTGGCCTTTCTCTATCCCCAGAGCTTAACATAAGTGACAGCTACAGATATGAGTTGAAATTAAACAGCCAGGGACAGCTAGGTGGCACAGTGGAGTCAGGAAGACCTGAGTTCAAATGTGGCCTCAGACACTGCTTAGCTGTGTAATCTTGGGCAAGTCACTTAACCCTGATTACCTAAGAGAGAAAGAGAGAGAGAGAGAGAGAGAGAGAGAGAGAGAGAGAGAGAGAGAGAGAGAGAGAGAGAGAGAGAGAGAGAGAGAGAGAGAGGAAGGAAGGAAGGAAGGAAGGAAGGAAGGAAGGAAGGAAGGAAGGAAGGAAGGAAGGAAGGAAGGAAAGAAGGGAGGGAGGGAACAGCTAGGGTTATCTAGCCCAATCTGCATCTCAGCTGAATAAACCCCACAAGTTTTGCAATTCCTATGGCAAGATTTCTGATTGAGATCCTGTTTGGATCCTAATTCTGTCATCCAATCACTGCATTCGCTTTCACTCCCAGATTTGTGCCATCTACAAATCTGATCATGCATGCCAGCTAAGCCTTTATCTAAGTCTTTGATAATACTCTTGCAAAAGACAATCAGTTGGTCCCCCTGCTTCCAGCTTCTCCCCTTGACAATCCACCCTCCCCACCCAGCTGCCAAATTGATAGTGTTAAAGCGCACAGCTACCTGGGTCATTCACCCACCTCAAGAAGCTATAGTGGCTTCCTATTTCCTGCAAGATTAAATATAAATTCCCTCATTTGACATTTAGAGGCCTTCACAACTGAACTCCAGCTTATCTTTTCAGACTGCTTTCAGATTACTTTTCCCCTTCATGCATTCTATAGTTTGATTAAAGTGATCTACTCACTGTTAACATATAAAATATTGCATATCTTACCCCATGCCCGAAATGCTCTCCCTTCTTACATATGCTCCTTGGTAACTACAAAATCCCCTTAAGACCCATTTCAAGTGGCTCCTCCTACAAAGGTCTTTCCTAATTCCCCATAGTTATTAATATTCTCCTACTAAAATTACTCTGTATACCCTTGATATATATACAATGCATATATGCATACATTATAATCTATACATTCTGTATTAATTAAAATATATCCTTAATATTGCTCATATAATACTACATATAATATATCACATTGCTTATATGTTATATTGCATGCATATATTAAATATCATTTATATGTTAAATAATATATAACATTACGTATTATCACATAGAGAATATATTGTATATAACATGTTATATCTAATATGCCCTACATCGCTTATATGTTACATG